GAGGAGGAGGAGACAGTGGTCTGTGTGCAGGGGTGCTTGGTGAGCACTGTAAATGTCAGAGAGCTGAACAAACTGTGGGCTGGAGATCCTGCTGTGCCACTGACCTTGAGCGAGTCGCTCCCCCCTTGCCCTTTCTTAGGCCATCTTGAAGAGCTCAAAATAGAAAAGGCTGGCATGGCCCCATGCAGTGATGAGCAGTGATAGCTGGAGCCTCGAGGAGCTGCTCTAAATCAAGTTAACAAAAGTAATAATCAGATCAAACTCGCTCTGAATCTCCCTGCTCTTGATGGGATATTAGGGGCTGTTCAACGATCTGGCCACCACCCAGGTACTTAAGGCATGTCCTGAAAATGCTTGAGGAATCAAGTTGAATTAGGTTGTTTAAATGGTATGTGAGTAGATAATGAAATTAAATATATGGCAAAATATTATTCTAGAATTTAATGATTACCTCCATGCAGAATATATTTGAAGTAGTTGTGTGTGACTGAAAATGCTCATTTCCATTGTGATAAACAAACTAGAAATTCCGTCTCAAATCTTGGCTCTGCTTTGTACTACACGAGAGCAGAAGCTGCCCCTGAGACCTCAGTGTGGAGGCAGCCTCCTTCAAAGCTGCAGACTTGGATAGTGCTGTCCAGGCTTGGAGGACGAGCGGAAAGGAGGTCCTTTGGCTAATATCTGGATCACCCTTCTAAGGGGCTTCACTGACAGATTACAAGAGGACAGTGCTGTAGACTGGGATGGTTTATTCCCCTGGTTGTATTCATTGCACCGCCTTGGGCTAGATGCACAGGAACAGGGATAACAGAAAATACATTAAATTATGAAAAAGGAGATGAAGTCAGAATTATTTGAGTTTTTATTGAAATTCTGTTTACAGTGCTTTAAGAGTTTTGCTTAGAGCAGTATTTATGAATATTTGTATTGCTTGCAGATTCTTCTTATGCTTTTCCCTTGCCGTGAGTCAAGCAGTGGTCCAGCACACTACTGAAAGAAAATGAATACTGACTAGAGAAAAAAATATTGTCAAAGACCATGAAGGGAAGATTGCCAGTAGACTAGCAAACCAGTCCAGCAAGGCAGGTTTCAATTTAATCTTAGTTACATATTAGGTTATTTAAAAAAAAAAAAAAAAAGGAAAGAAGAAGAGGATGTTTAAGATTCGAATTACTGCACAGAAGAGTAAACATGTTTGCAGCCATACTAAAAGATCATTTCAGTTTTAGGAAAGTAATTGATAGAGATTTATTTGTTCAAATGACAGAATGAGGGAAACTGCAAGTTCTCATAGGTTTGTTTCTGATGCACACTTGCAAAAACAAGAGATGTTTTTTGAAGACCTCCTAAAAATCAGAACATGACAGGTTTAGTAATGGCCTTGAAATGAAAGCCTAGGCCTATGGCTAGTCACACAAAAATAATGTGACATTGAAATGTTTTAAATGCATGATTGATTATGTACTACAAAGGATACTTAAAGTTTTTAGCATTCTTGCTTTTTACTAGAATTAGTGTGGTTGAAAGATATGAGATACTTATAGTGCCTTTTTATTATAGGTTTTTAAATTCAGAAGTGTAATACAGATTCTGTCACACAGGATTTGACTATAAGCATGGGAGGAAATCAGGGAAAACCTAATTCTGAATGTGTATTTTTATTTGCAAATTTCTTACTATATAGCAACGTTTCCTTGTATGCCAGACAGTTTCTCTTTATAAGTCACAAAGAGCTTCAACTCTCAGCTGCCCCAGGTGGTATGTATTAGTGCAGCGTGCAGGAATAATATCTGTTTTATTTGATGCCAAAAATTACAGTAATCAGCAGAGCTGTTCCCTGAAGAATCCTTCACATGAGTGTAAGAGAACTTGTGCTTATTCTAAGACACGGAATTTTATCTATTTATCAGTAGAAATTCAATTTGAAAATACTAATTAGTTTTTAAATTAATAATGACCTTTAGACTGAGTGCTCAGATGAGATGCAAGTAGGAGTCAACAGAAAGTATACCGCTCTATATCTGAACACCAGAGCAAAATGTTCGTTAGCTCTGCAGTTCTTTACCTAATTATTTCTTCAGTATCTTTAGATTGAAAATTCTAAACCAGACATTTTCCTGAAGCTCAGTTTTACCAGGAAGACCTAAACTTTACCAGGTATTATGATATTTGGATCAGGGCCTTTAAAATAATGGATTTATCAAAGATCTTGGACTCAGCCCTTGGCCAAGGACTTCCAGTTCATTTCTGCAAAGAGCACTTTGTTCATCATCATCATCAAATGATGTCATTGTGATGTCCAGTCTTCTGGAAGTTGCTATCTTATTATTTTCTTCCACATATTTTCAGCACGGGTGAGCAGCTGCCACCAAATAGCTCCGTTTCCAGCAGGACCGATCCTGGCACCCCGTCTTTCTGTTTCCTGACTCCTTTCTCACAGCGGCAGCGGCACAGTCATAACTGCTTGCTCCTGTTGCAGGGGGAGAAGCACTCAATCCTGCACCCTGTCCCCAGCAAAATCCTGCTACAGCTGCCCTGCTGCAGTCCTATGGCAGCCATTTTCTTAAACTGCGTCATCTGGCCCCATGAGAGGCTTTGCAAAAGCGGGGTTAGAGCATCTTGGCTCTTGCCCTTTGGTTTCTTTTTGCACCTAAGCCCCCATCAGCTAGCCCAACCCAACCCAAGCCAACCCAAAAATAGACACAAAGCCAAAGCTGATGAGGTTTGAAGGCTGACATCTGATGGTATTTGAGATCTTTCATTTTTTTCTCTTTCATTTCCATTTGAACAATGAGATAAATTTTGATCAGGTGTATTTTGAACATGCAGCATATTTGCCGATAAATACTGATACTATTTTATCTTTGTACTTGCTACTGTAATGTAGTTTCTGAAGGTGTACAGTTGCGTGACAGTTTCCATATATTCATGTTGATATTATATGGCCTCATACTCCTGTTATCTTGTTTCTTTCTGTTCTTCTATTGCAGACAGTGCCACATTTTTTTAAAAAAAAGCTGTAGGTGGTAAAAACCATTAAGATTCAAATATATGAGTGCTTCTTAATATGATTTATTCATTACTTATTTCCACCAAATTTTGTATTTAACATTTAATATGTTTCTTCATAGAGACAGCAAGAGAGCATTTGACTACATTAAAATTATAAACCCTGTACTCATAATGAATTCAGTATAAATTTTGACAACTGGCATAAGCTAAGACTGGATGCAGTCAGACAACTTAGGTGCTAATTTGCAGCCTGACAAGTTTTGACATGACAAGAGTCTAAATTCTGTTTGCTTTTATACAGATAACCTACTGGAATCAATGGAGAAAGTGAGACAGATTTTTGACTTGACAACTTTTAACATCAATAAAATTCTCACTCAGGAGTTCTTACTCAACATGTTGTATTTCTAATGGGCGCTCTTGTCATTGAATTCAATGGGCTTTGATTCAAGCAGCATTCGATTTCTGTGTGAAGTAAAAAGCAAATGAAAAAACACAAACCATAGTGGGTTAGATATAATACTTGAACAGAAAATCTGATCTTCCTAGAAGCCCCAAGGGAAAAAAAACCCCATGTTTAAAATCACGCCATCTAATCTGAAAAAATTAAATCTTAAATAGAGTTATCATTATCTCGTGATGATAATTTGACAACACTACAGGACTAAATTAAAAGCATTTAAGTGTTTCTTTTAACTACAGTGTTGAATTTCATGGGGTTTTGATATTTGGTTTGAGGATAATTGCAGCATCTATGAATACTTTTTCAATTTAAGTCAATGATGTGCTCTCATTTTTAATTGATTGTTTTATCACTTCTGAGAATATTAAATGAGTTATGTGTAAATGTTGAGATTCATTGATATCATTGACCTCAGTTTTTCAGTATGCTTTGTCTGCCTCTATTGTAAATACTTTTAAATCATGTAGAAAAATGTTTAATTAAAAATCTTTCAGTTCACTTTTCAAATGATAGTATTATTATCCCAGCTTTCCAAGTGTGGTCCTCGAAGCAGAGAGTTACAGGTGGAGTATGTGACCTGTTTTCCTCCTGTGGAGTGCACAACTCAGTACTGACGGTTCA